TCAGGCACCACAGCTTTAATGTTGGTGTAGAGCAGGGGTGTCAAACTCATCTCCTGCTCTGGGCCAGATCTGGATCCTGGGGCTTTTTGTGGGTTGTATCCAGTCTGGGGCGTGGAGTGGTTTGGTGGCTGCAGCTCAGGCTCCTGCCCTGTGCATGCAGTGGTGGTAGCAGCAGCAGCAACAGCCCCAGCTTCTGCTGCATGCCTCATGGCAGAGACTGCTTCTGCTGCTGCCAGGTGCCTTGTGCTATGACAGCAGTGTACATGGTGGTGACACTTCTGGTTCTGTCTCTGGCATGCAGCGCATGCCAATGGCAGGCCATTGGCTGAGAAGGTAGGACCACTTTGGTGGTGGTGACAGGCGAAATGGGGCGGGGGGGCATCTGAGGCTGTATCAGCCCTCATTTGACCTAGTGCTGCCAATTGCCATGTCAAGTAGGGACCAAGGGCTCCAGATTCTGCAGTGGGTCATTCACTGTGGCCCTACCCCGCAACTTTTGGTAGTCCACTTGTAGCCCAGCAGGCTGGATAGAGGGGTTCCATGCTCCAGATCTGGCCTGTAGGCCACATGTTTGACACCCCTGGTGTAGAGTGCTCCTGCTTCTCCCCCAGTTGGCAAGAATTCAGCTGTTAGTATTCCTGTTTCTTCGCTTGTGGCTGCCCATCCATCAGTGGGAAGTACAGGAGCAAAGAAGAGAAGGCATCCTGGAGCTATTGTGCTTCATCTGATCTGAGTTTTGCTTCACTGAACCAAAATTTCTTCAGAATTCCCTTGCTGCCTGGTTTCCTGCCATTCCCTATCCCCAGCATGGGAGCTGCCACAGTATGCTATAGCCCCACACTGTAGATACCCCCGCTCCTTGGCTTTGGTACCCCTCAGCTAGAGGAGCCTCTGATTCCAAGTTTGTGTTTGTATTATAGTGAGGGACCTTCAACAGAAAACAGGATTTTGTGGAAGTGTCTAGCTGGCTAAAGGCAAAGAGAGACTCTAATAGATCTGTCAGTGCCACTGCCTCCTCTTTGGTATTGGGAACTATAGCAAAGGATGGTTATTGTTATGTATTATTTCTATGGTAGCAGTGCCTGAGAACCCGAGTCTTAAACCAGGGCTGTGCTAGGCACTTTACATACCACACATGTAACCCTCCCCATTTTCTGTCTCCAGTGAGCTTACATACAAAAGACAATAGATGGGTACAGAGCAACAGGAGCACAAGGAGACAAAAGACAGCTGTTCAGTGAGAAAAGCACTAGCTGTAGAAGCTAGCAGCCTGAGGGCTCTTGTACACCAGCAGCCTTCCTGTTTTACTGGAAAGGAGTGTATTTGACAGAACGAGAGAGAGTTTCACAAGCTCCTGAGTTGGGCTATTTTCATGAATTCAGGATGGGAAGGGACCTCTCCCATCATCAGTTGTAGTTCCTAGCTATCACGGGCACCCACATCCATAAAACAAGCAAGCTCCATCTTCAAAGCATTTAGATTTTTTTTTTACCCCTCTGCTCTTATTGAGAAGCTGTTCCAGAACCTGCCTGTTGTTAGAAACCCTCTCCTGATTTCCAGTCCAAATTTACTCATAGATACTTTATAACCACTTGCCGCTGTGCTAACCTTAACTATCTTTTCCTTCCCTTTTATTTACCACCCACTAGATTTATAGTAACCAGGCATATCCCTGTTCCGCATTCATTTTGCTAATAAATCCAAGCTCTTCTAGCCTCTCCTCAAATAATAGCTAATACCAGTAGACCTTCTCTGTACCTATTCATTTGGATTAATTTTTCTTAAATATGCCTGACCAGAATTAGACACAGTATTTCAAATGAGGTCTTATCAGTGCCTTCTGCCATCTCTTGGAAATACATTGTGACAGTTCTCCTGCAATCAGGTATTACATCCAAATCCTTCTTTTTCTTAGTTGCTTCCATGTGAGGTCCCAGTTTAAGATTTGTTACTAGTCTCCTAGAACATGACCTTATGTTTTGTGCTGTGGAACTCCATCTCACTTCTGTTGGTCCAGTTTGCAAGGTCATCCAGCTCTTTCTGTATAATATCCTGCTTCCCCTCTGTACTAATGATACCTCTGAATTTAGACACATGCAGATTTCATCAGTAGACTCCAGTTTTTGTGCCAAGGTCATTCATGAAAGTATTGTACAGGATTGATCCCATGCTGATCTTGACAACCCACTGCTGTCTCCCCTTTACCTAATACTTCCTCCACTTTACAGTTCCTCTACCAATCTCCATCTTCTCCAGTTTAACTAATAATTTCTCATGTGACATTATATCAAACACTTTACTGAAGTCTGGAAGATAAGATCTACTGCGTTTCCTTTGTCTAGAAATCGCTTGTCAAGATCTCAAGCGAATCAGCATGAGCTACCTTTGCTAAACTTGTTGTATTTTATACTATTTTTCATTTTTCTGCGCAACTTTTAGGAATTCTTTCCTTCAAAATTTGTTCCAAAGTACTATGTACTACTGAGCTTGAACTATTGGACCTGTAGGGTTGTCCTTCTTTTCAGTCTTAAATGTGGTACTACATCTGCTATTTTCTAGTTATAGGGTACCATCTCTGATTAGATAGATTAACTGAAAGCATGTACTATCAGACCTGCAAGTTTGTATATCAATTCTTTCCACATCTTACCCTGGGGTTTGACAGCAGCTCCCCAGCACCATCTCAATGTAACCTTTTTACCATCCTCCCCAAACGTGAAGATCCCGTTTCATGAAAAGAGCAGCTATAATGTCAGAGATTGTTTCTGCAAGCAACAAAGCTGCGAAATACACTGACGCTATTAATTAGCATTGGCCTACACAGAACATACTTCACAAACAGCCTTAAGCTATAAACTTGTTTCCTAGAACAGGGAAACAGGTTGGGATGATGGACTACTTGGATGTTTTGTTTGTGAAGATAGGAGTTGGGAACATCTCCAAATTGCTGGAGGACTGGCATCAAGCCTGTGACAGCATTTGTGCATGCAGCATTTGTGCCAATGGTATGACTTGAGGTGAGGAGGAGAGGGCATGTATTTGATAGATAGCTTAACTTTTCATCTCATTGTTTTTGAGGCTTTGGGCTAGGTGTTATAATGCATACTGCAGTCTTGACTGATATACAATGTAACGTGCTTGTGTGTTTGGATAAGCAAAGAGTAGTTTGGGAAAAAAAAATGAAGGACTGATTAAGTTGAAACTGTCACTTGCCAGCAGTTGGCCTTTGAAGGGGAACAGTATTTCTGAGCTCCCTTTAAACTGAATTGGAAGGAGAGGCCAAGTGGGGGAAATGCTAAAAGTATGGGGCATAGTGGTCCCCAGTGTCCATTCCTTTAGTTTCAAAAGAGAAGAAAGCTGTATGTCTACAGATGGGTAGGTTGAACCCCGCCTTGGAATCCTCTCTTCTCTTCCCAGCAGACACTTGCCTGCCCATTGTCCATAAATCAGTCCTTCCCTTTGCGTCTTTGTTTGTGTTGCTTATCTTTAACCCATTGCCGTTTGTCTTCATATCTCTGGTACAGTGTTAGAGAGGCACTCTGACCAGGGACATATACTGAGGGGCTGTGGCCTCCCAGCTGGAAATCGTATTAATCTTCATTGCTGCTGTATCACGTTGTGTAGTTTGCAGGCATTGTGAACACCCCTTCGTTTCTCTTGGCATTTCAATTTTCCAGATATTTTTTTTACCTATTGAAAAACTGTTTGGGATGATTTTTTCACAAATATATTAGCTGCACTTTTTTCTGCCCTGAATCTCATATCGTGTCTTGCTCATGTTTTTAACCTCTTGATGCAAGATGGTTATTAACTGATTACTGAACAGTTAACCAATTGAACCCCAATCAAATTTGTCTTTATTAAGTGATTTATTAAATGATGAGGAGACTGTTTATAGACAACCCAAATAGACTTAGTTAACATAATACTAATAATATAGCTCTAACCCAATAGAGAGGAGCAGATACAAGACACGTTTCTTTGAAAGCCTCCCTACTGTTTTCCTCTTGGCATTGCAAAACACAGTAATGGTGCATCAAGACCCCGTTTTCTCTTCTGAAAGCCTCTCTGGGAGGGGCTAACTTTTATAGGGAGGTGTTGCAAGATAAAAGGCTGGAAATTTTCAGAAACATCTTTGTTTCTGAGACCTTTGAGAACCAGACTAAGCCAGTTTCTCAGTGATCCTTGCCAGATGTCAGGAAAGATTTAATGTTACAAGAAAGTCTGGTTTGTTAAAAAGGGAGTCTTCCTTATCTCTGATATGCACCTGACTCAACATTTAATTGCAGCTCTTTAACTTGCATAGTGCCTGCTGGCCTATACATTTGCTGTCTCTTGCTCTTCACTCTCAACATGCCCTACACCAGTAATGTTCAGTAGTTTATTAGCACCCAAGTTCAGCAGTTCCTAAACTAAGGGGTGTGCCCCCTCCCTTCCCGTTATAAGTAGGGCAACAACAACCATATTGAAAGTCAGTGGTAGCACTGCAGTTTTGAGCCAACTGGAAGAAGGGGTTATTAGTTCAGAAGCAAGGTTACATGTGCAAAAAGATTGGGAATAGTCTTCCTTAAGAGTAGCAGCAAAGGTTTTTGGGAAAAGATTGGTTACATGAGCCTTGGCAGTGACAAATGTAGCAGTACATAACCTACCTGTAAACAGAGCAATGGAATTCACTAAATTATATTAATATGATTAAAACTAAATGGCAACATACGTGCAACTGGCATGGTTTATAAATAAGCATGCTGACACTCCCCAGGCTACTTTTCTGTTGTTTATCTCTGTCAGTGGTGTTCAACATTCTCTAGCTTGTGTCTCATCTGTGAACTCCAGTAACACACCGCTTACAGACTTTTTTCAAATCATTAATAAACGCATTAGATGGGAACTGAGCTAATACTGAATCCTGTGGTTTATAACTGTGTTTGCTTTTGGGAGCCACAGAGGAGCTGTGCCTTGTATTAGTCTTCTAATTCCAATTCTTTTCCTCTGCTCTCCAGGTGTATCCACTGTGGAGTTGTCTTCACAACGCTTGCAATGCTGAAAGTGCACATTCATGAGAAACACTGCGAAGTCTTCCACAAGTGTTCTTTTTGTCCAATGGCCTTCAAGTCTGCAGACACCACTGCTGCTCACATCACTAGCCAGCACCCAACAGAGTCTCACAAGACTACTCAGTAAGTACCATTACACATAAAGGCCTAAGGAAGTTGTGATATTCAAAAGCTTGCCTATGTGTATACCAGCCATACAGTTGGTCCAATATCATTCGCAAGAATTCTTGCTGTTCGCATCTCCTGGACCATCTGGGCAATGTCACCCCACACTACCATTACATATTGACTCGCTGTGTTTGGCAAATTGCAAACAATCAGTGTCTGCCCCTGTTTGAGTGGAACTTTCCCTTGCCCACTGCAAGGACCCTTTCCTCCATAGAAGGTCTGCCTTTACATATCCCTCATGAGGAGGAGGAGTTAAAACTACTGATGCTTTTGCTGCTAGTAGTGGCCTAGTTCCTATCAGATCCTGCTCCCCTGGCCCAAACTGGGGATTTTACTTCCTGGGCCCTTTCTCCAGTCTAGGAGTGAACTGAGCTGTAGAAAGAAATCTAGCATGGATGAACGTGTCATCTACTGAGAGGAGGCTGCACTGCAGCTGCCCCATTTTTCATTCCCAAGAGAGGCAACAAGTTATGCTAAGTGCAAATGCTGCAGAAAGAGACTGGAGAGATTTTCCTGTGTGCACTACTCTGTTATCTTCCCTCCAACCAGCGCTGAAAGTGCATGTGTGTTGGGGGGGCGCGTTCTCTGAATATTTTTCTTCTGCTGATCTGTGCCTACCCTGTCTACCTAGGCATGTGGATAAGGGGCTTAAAGGAACTTATGTTTTAGAAAGCTCAAGTCTATGCCTGAGACATTCCATTTCTCTACCTAGTTCCTTCAAATGGTTCTGTGCTCTGTGCAGCATGTTGGGAGCATCGCCCAGGAATGTGGCTATGTATAGGTAATACATTGGAAGAACTCCGTTTACTGGGAAGTAACTGCTGTTCTCAAGGCTAACTTAGTGAGATTTCTTGTAACCAGTGTCTTGCAATTTTGATTTGGTTTGATTGCATTGTTCTAGGGTGATCTACAAATGCTCATGTGAGACTGTTTTCAACAAGAAACGATTGCTGCAGGAGCACTTCCAGCAGAATGCCAACAAACTGTTGGTGGGAGTATTTAAGTGTCCACAGTGTCAGTTGGTGTATATGCAGAAACAGCAGTTAATGCAGCATGTCAAGGTAGGTGGTAGAAGTTGACTTAATGATAACACAGAACCCTGCTTGCCTTGTGAATTTGTATGCATCCCTGGTGGCAAAGATGTGTTGGAGGCTTTGTTTCTTGCCAGGGGCAGCTGATGAAAAATAAAGTGGAACAACACAAGTTTCATAATGCCGTAATAATAAATATTGTTTTATTACAAAAACATACTACCATGAAACAGATTTCTCTTCAGCTCTGGTGACATTTCCCAGGGAACAAGGGAGTGATCACCTCATCTGTAGTTTACTCAATTTTTTGACAAAAGCCGTTTTAAAAAACAACAGCCCTAAAACTTTGTGGGTTTTTGATTGGCAGCTGTTTGTATTGAGGGAAACAGAGTGCAAATATTTTCATTGCTGCATATATAACTGGAAGAGGAAAGCTGATGGCAGAATGAAAACTGTGAAACATTCTACTTAGAAACAGTTCTGCTCCTACTAGTATTTCTTATTTATTGTGATTATTTCCCTTGCACTTTATATTAAAATAAATATGTGCACAGAACCAGGGATTTGTTTCCTCAAATAATGTATTCTCTTTAACAGTGTACACAGTCTCCAGACTGAAAAAGGTCCCTGCACTTACCTGGAATATGCAATTATTCAGACTTAATATAAACAGGACTTAAGTTCCTCATGCTGGCTTTGCTAGGATATTTTAGGGCTATGAATAACCTTGAAAATGAGGAGAGCTAATCAGTTTGGGGGTTGCTCATACCACAGTGCTGTCTATGCTTATTAAGTACAGAGTCCTATGGGGCTGTGGTATTAGCAGCTGCAAAACTGACTGGCTTCTCTCATTTTCAAGGCTTCTAACAACAACCTTGAGTCAGATGCTTCCCCTTCACTCTTTCTGGAGCAGCAAAGCCAAGTACAATTAGTTACAAAGTAGATGCCTACAGTTCCACTTACTATGCAGTTTAACCAGGGTACAGTTAAGTTATGAGGTAGACAGTGGGCTTAAAGATGTTCAAGTGGTTTTTACATCCAGTCTGCAGAAAAAGGGAGTTTTGTTATACCGGAAGCAGCTGGCAACAACCTGAGACTGGCAACATATTTTGTGAAACAATCACTTATCTGGTATGCATATAAGTGGATGTCTTCTGTTGCTTCTTGTTAATTTTGCAGTATTGGTATAGATTCCTTCCTAATCTGTACAGTAGGTAGAGTTGGGGAGGTGGTAGGGAGGGGAAGGGAGAAGGGAATTTAATTTTATTATTTTGCCGTTACAAGCTCAAGGAAAAAAATCCTTTTGTTGTCCTGTCCAAATTTCAGGGCTTTCTTTGAAAAACCTAAAGTAAGCATTTTTATCAACTGCACACTGAAGATTTTTTTCAGTAAACTGAAGATTTTTTACAGAAAAGATATTTTTTGACAAAAATTTATGAGTCAGCACAAAGGTATTTCCATCCCTAGAAGCTTTCACTGTATTTTTTTAATCTGCTCACAGCAGCCTTCTATTACACCGGGAAATAGGAGATTTGATTACCCCCATTTTAGATGCTTAAATAGGAATAATGGTGGTGTTCATAAAATTACCTTGCTACACACTTTGGATCTTTGATCTTCTTGCAACTGAATCCTAAAACCTGACCTGACATTGTTTTAAAAAATCATTCTAAATGTACACACCACTCATTCTATTGAGGGATCCTGTGAAGTCATATTGTCACTGACATCCCAGTACTCTCACAGCTGCCATTTATAATGAACAGTCCTTTATACCAATGGAAACCCTATTGCTTTCCAGGTAGCCTTCACCATGGGCAGATGTAGGATTTTGAGAAGTGAGTGCAAATGTTTTGATATATCATTCCACATGGCACAGCACATTTTTGTTCAGTTAAAGAGAAACTGGATGCTTTACTAATATGCTAAGGGGATGGCAGTATATTATTCAGTTTAAGATCAAAGCAAAAATAAATATAACTTTTTGGATTGTGCACTAATTCGCTAGATTACATATAAAGATTAAACTAAGCAAAAAAAATTATCAAAAGCTATTGTGTCATTAGTCCTGTAGTCACTGTAGTTAAATGCACATCACTTATTCAGATTCATAATACAAAATCTGGTCTTCTTGAGAGTCTTGATAGTGCCTCCAGTACTTCACTGTCAGTCATTTCTACACCTGTGTTAATATCACCTCGCATGAGTTAAGGTTTTTATCTAGAGCTGATAATGAGCTATGAAGTCAATAGACTGCTGCAGCACTGCTTGAATGGAAGTACGTGCCTTTCCCACACAGCCGGTTTTAAAATGTCACTATAGTAGGAATCAGTGGTGGGTGCAACTGCACCTCTTCCCTCCCCACCCTTTTGATCCACCCTTGGTCTTCCCTGTTGTTTATGAAAGTTAACTAACACTAAGATATATGTACTTGGATCTTATATTTTGCTATTACTCTAGTGTGGGAATGTTAGCACATCTCAATGTGCAAAACCAGCAGTGCCCAAATGGAAGGTCATCTTGAACATTCCTGTATTTTCCAGTATAACAGATTGTGAAATTGTGAACAGAGTGTTTGCTTACTTCTGCTTTTATTTATAATAAAAGTGTACTGCCATAGGATTAATTTTGAAGCCATTTTTCCTTGTTCTAGTTTAGAGCCATTTCTCAGAAGGCAAAGAATGAATAAACTTTCAGTAGTTATGATTTGGCTTTCATTTGAAAATCTCAGAAACCTTTGTTTGGCACTGAGTTAGCACTTAAAGTGGCCCTTGGAGGTAGATAAATATTAGTCTCCCCAGTTTTCAGTTGGGGAAATAGAAATGTCAGAAAAACTAAGGCTGAGATTTTTCAAAAGGGCACCCATCTCCCGCTGGCTTCTTTAAAAATTCCAGCCCAGCTGACGTGTGTAGCAGAGCTTGCCAAATAATACTCAAACTTCCACAGGTCTTTAGTTTTACACACTGGGGCATGTTTTGTCATTAATGGCTTTCCCAACCTTCAGTAAAACTTTAGAATTGAATTGACCAGGGTTTTTAGTTGCGTTAAACTGACATGAGTGAAAAACACACTGTTTTTGCTTATCAAAGCAGAGCCCCCTGAGATCAATATAGAAGCTGCATGGTCTGTTCCTGTGTTCAAGATAAGGTAATCTATTCTAGAAGACAGTTTTCTAGGAGAGGTGTTACTGCTGATCAGACAATGGGATCCATTTTGATGGTATTTGTGTGCGTTTGAGTTGTTGAAGCACAAGCTTGGGAGTTAAGAGAGCTAGGTTCTGCTGTTCACTCTACTGTCAAAGTTGCTTCACTTCTCTGCACCTCAATTTCTTTCTGTTAAAACTGATCTGATGACAGGGACTTCCCTAACAGCTTGGTGAGCATTGATTTATTTATGCTTGTAAACTGCTTTGAGATCTTCAAACAGGGAGATGAATATAGACAGTATCTCCAAGGGTGTGGAGTTTGTCCATCATGCACACCATCTGAAACAAGCAAGAGGCTCGGCCTTCTCAAGTGAGGAGCAAGCCTGTTTTAGAGGTCATGTTTTGTGTCTTATTATGAAAACATAATAGAAAAATTCCTGTCTCCTTTCTTTATTACAGCCTTTACTCTTAATAATTCCTGGGAAAATTTAAGCATCTGAATTATCCCTGTGTGCATAGATACTATTACAGTCCCTTTGGGGCTGTCTTTGGGACTTATTGGCAAGTGACTGTTTTATTTGGCCTTCCTTTTACCACAGCTTTTAAGCTGTAGGTTATTTTCTTTGTCCTCCATTTTGATTATGAAAGTAGTTTGTTTGCTGTTCTGGGACATTGGGTCCAATTGTGTTGTAATTCTATGGACTATCTTAGAAGCCTGGCAGCGTGCATCCAACAGAGACTTGGTTTCTGCCTTTGGTTTGTTCAGTGTGCAGAGAACATTACTGCATTTATTTTGAACTCTGAAAAGAGAAGTCTCTCCAGTTGTGGAGTTCCCAGCTGTGGCAGCAGACTTTGTCCTTTTAAACCATTACGCTAAAGTATATTGAGAGAGAATACTGTATTTACCCAAATACAAGGAGAGGTTCCCCCCGCCTGTTAGCATGGGGGAAAAGAAGCCCATTGTCTTAAAATCACCTACAAAGAAATGTTGCTAAATACATTGACTATCATTAAGCTGCTGCCAAAAGAAGCATGTGCTTAACCATGGAAACCAGTTATAAAGGTGATTAAATATAGCCAACACATGACTATAAAACACATGGCCCATATTGGGCAAATATAGGAACCTTCTACAAAAATAGATTCATAAAGCCAATCTGAATAAGATTATGATATTGCTCATTTAGTGCAGTCCCCCTTACCATTGACTTTTTTCCAAGTCATGGTGAGCCACTACTTTGCATATGTTTTGACTTCCTCTTCACTCCCACAGCTAACCTGCATCTTTCTTTCCCATTTCCAATGTTCCTGTTTTTTTGCCAGCCTTAAAGGCCTGGCAAACATTGAAACAGGGCCCCAAATAGTTCACCCAGAATCCCTCTGTCACACCCTCTCTTAGCCGTGCACATATGATTAGTGTAGTCCTGCCCTCCATGAGGTAAAGCTGGAGCAGGTTGCCCGGCACCTCATCTGCATGTAAATTTTTGGAGTGTCCTAGGGCTCATGACAAGAACTCCTAGTTCTAGTCACAAGTGGGGTGCTAATTAGCATGTGGATCCTTTATAGGGAGTATCTGGAGTACACATACCTACTGAGCAGTGCTGAGGGTCACCATGGCTTGAAATGCCATTGATTCTGGTGGGGTCCATACAACTAAGTGTATGGGCACTGTATGTTCATTGCTATAGCTATGTTTAATTTCAAGGTTATTGTTTTACTTATCTGGCAGTGGAAATACCATGACCACCAAGGTGGTTTTCCTACTGGCTGGGGAAAACTATAAATGTGGCAGGGGGTAGTACCCTGACCAAGGTAAGGCATAGTTAACTTTCTACTTTCTCTTCCATTGGGAAGATCTTGGCTATATGCTGACTTTATGGAAATGGGAGACTTCTCCCTAGCTTGCTTCTGTGGCCATACAGCTGAGGGCAAGTGAAACTCAGGGGCATCCGAACCCCATTGCTTCTAGGCTTGGGCCTGCATGTAGGATGCCTGCCAAAGGATTTGGAAACATCTGAAGCTCCAGGCTGGGATGGAGGATGCTTCACAGCAGCAGGGCCACATATGGTTCTTGAATGACTCATACAGATTTGGAATTGATTTGGCTGATTTGACTTGGGGGACACAAAAAATTCCTTAAAAAATGGTTATTGTTTTCAAATTGCTTCTTGGCCTCTTGTGGGATATTATCAAGTGTAGGGAGTATCTGAAGTCCTGGACCAAAGATTCTAGGATGGAGGATGCTTGCCTGTAATATCTAGGGGCATCTGAACCCCAAGACCTCCAGACTTGGGCCTGCATGTAAGATGCCTGCCAATGGATTTGGGAGTATCTGAATGCCCAGAATGAGAGGTTTGGGATGGAGGTCGTTTGCTGGTTGTAGCTCCGTACATGGTATTTAGAATGATTGAGTTCTACTTGCTCAATTGATATGATTTTTGGAATGATTGATTTCTGCTCAGTTGATCTGATCTGGAACTGATTTGGCTAATATGATCCGGAACATGAAATATATTATAAAAAAAAAAAGGTTATTAGTTTCAAATCTGATCCCCTCTGTGCGCTCAGGGGTAGCTGGATTTGACAGTAAGGACTGGGAAAGGTTTGCCAGGGGAAAAAGGTGAGGGGAAGCAGAGAGCAAAAGGGCTGGCTGGCCTGGGAAGGGTCAAATTCAAGGCAAACCTCTAATGATTAGATTCTATACCTGGAAAATTATTAAAAAAATTATAATTTTTCCATATATAGAATCCAGTGATTGTGAGGTTGTCTTATATTTGAGTAAATATGGTAGCACCAGAGCCAAAAACCATGCTTCCAAAATACTGGAAATGTACATTTCTCTTCCCTTTTCAATCAGTGATCCCAAACAGTCACTGAAAATGCTATGCCTATACTACCAAGAAAATGCCATTGTAATACAGACATTTTATGGTGGGAACTTTATATATTTCTTTAAATATTTTTTCCCAGGAAAGCTTTCTAGCCTTTTCAAATATGTGTTGGGGGACGGGGAGGGAGAGGAGTGACATGTTGCTTGAATTATATTTGACAGCTGATGCTCATTTTTTATTATTCCAACTCAGAGTGTTCATGGAGTCCCCCAAAATCCCGAGGAGCTCTCTAACCTTCGACAGAAATCTGAGACAACATCAAGCAACCAAGTTCGTACACCACCAAAGGAACAGACAATGACAAATGGTCATAAACTCCTACAAGACCGTTTTA